CACTCCATTCTCTGACATTTTTTCATCACTCCATTCTCTGACATTTTTTCATCACTCCATTCTCTGACATTTTTTCATCACTCCATTCTCTGACATTTTTTCATCACTCCATTCTCTGACATTTTTTCATCACTCCATTCTCTGACATTTTTTCCTCACTCCATTCTCTGACATTTCCCTCACTCCATTCTCTGACATTTTTTCCTCACTCCATTCTCTGACATTGTTCCTCACTCCATTCTCTGACATTTCCCTCACTCCATTCTCTGACATTTTTCCTCACTCCATTCTCTGACATTTCCCCCACTCCATTCTCTGACATTTTTCCTCACTCCATTCTCTGACATTTCCCCCACTCCATTCTCTGACATTTTTCCTCACTCCATTCTCTGACATTTTTCCACACTCCATTCTCTGACATTTTTCCACACTCCATTCTATGAAATTTTTCCACACTCCATTTTCTGACATTTTTTCCACACGCCACTCTCTGAGATTTTTCCACACTCCAATTTTTTGAGATTTGGCCACGCTCCGTTATCTGACTTACTCATACAATTGCCATCTCTGACATTTCTGTTAACTCCCGTAATCGTGCTAATGAACTATCGCGTCTATGAACGGTATCCCTCATAAAGGCACTAAAAGCTTTTTGTGATAAGTTATCATTCAGGTAGCGGTCTCCACTTGAGCCGACCATAATCCCACTCAGCTGAAACCGATGGGGCGATTATATTGAAAACCCCTGGTCACCACCCTGACACGGGCCAGGACAAAAAAATCTGTAGAGGAATAAAGTGGACCATATGAGGGCTATCGTGGCGATAAAAAGGCTGTAGCCCGTTTCAACGGTGCTTTAAATCAGTGGTCCCCAAACTTCCGCACCGTGCCTCGTGGGCACGCTGGGAAATTTTCTGCTTGGGGGCACAAGGGGAATAAAGCATCATTGCTTCCATGTTTCTTTCGCTTTACCACCCATTAAAATATAATTGATTAATTTGGATTTGCTGGTGAATATGGTGATGAATGTGGTGATGTATATGGTGAAGGATATTGTGGTGAATTTGGTGATGAATGTGGTGATGAATATGGTGATGGTTGTGGTGATGAATATGGTGATGAATTTGGTGATGATTATGGGGGTGAAAGTGGTGATGATTATGGTGGCTAATGGGGTAATGTATATGGTGATGAATATGGTGGTGATTGTAGTGGTGAATAGTGTGATGAATATGGTGATTAATGTGGTGATGACTTTGGTGATGAATGTGGTAAAGAATGTGGTGATGAATATGGTGATGAAAATGGTTGTGAATGTGGTGATCAATGTGGTGATGAATATGGGAATAAATGTGATGATGAATGTGGGGATGACTATGGGTATAAATGTGATGATAAATGTGGTAGTGAAAGTGGTGATGAATATGGTGATGAATGAGGTTATGAATGTGGTGATGAATGCGGTGATGAATATGGTGATGAATATAGTGATGCTTTTGGTGATCTTTTAAACGAATAGTGGTAATCTTGCTGGATTTTACAGAAAAATAATGTTGTACAATTGGAAATCACGTAATACAATGTGTATTTAGTTACACCCAAGAGATTTCATGTGCATATTGCTGTCTAACTATGCATATTGGTGTCCAACTGTGCATATTTCTTCTATTGCACACTTCTATTGCTGCCCACAGATACTACTTACCAGCTAAATGCTATTTCTTATTTTTATTTTTATACCGTTTTTTTCTGTTGTTTTGTTCGCTGACGAAGGCTTTCTGCCGACACGTTCGCTGTTTTGTTGCGTTTATTTTTTCAGGTTTAACCCTACTCTGTTTTACTCATTTTATTTTGTACTAACCTGATTGCAGTCTCTCCCCTTATTACCCCCAACAGTGCATATTGGTGACTAAATGTGCATTGAACAAATGTCCATATTTTCGAACAACGATGAAAGAGCATAACGATCACTTTCTCATTAGGAACATTTGTCTTCTTTTTAAAAATTACTGATGCTAAATAGACAAAGAGATAATGATTGAAGGACTGCATCCAAGCCGCGCGAATGAAATAGTAAAACAAGGTGTGTTGAAGCTTGCGTCAAAAGACAGCACCATGAGATGTAAACGTTTCGGCTTAGAGCCTTCTTCAGCGAACAGGACAAATAGAAGTGCGACAAGAAACAGAGCACAGTGAAAAAAAAACACAAAAAAACTTCAAAGATCTCCTTTGTTGTTGCCTAAAGAGTCAGTGGCTCGATTCAGGGTCTTCCTTTAGTTTATGAAAACCCAGGGCGTTCCGTGAGTTATGACAACCCAGGGCGTTCCTTTAGCTTATTACAACCCTGGGCATTCCTAGAATTTATGACAACCCTTCCCCGGGGCGTTCTTTAAGTATATATTTCAAGGATATACAAAAATAAATTTTGGGATCTACTCATCTACATCAGGTGGAAATCGAATCATGGAAAAGAAAAGCATCAGTTAGGTCTGAGTGGATGGAAGTGGTGAGGCAGGCCAACGCCTTGCACGGACTGTAGCGCCACATGGGTGGATGGATAGATGGACAAAAATAAATGCTAGTCGCTTAAAACATGTATTGTGTAATTCCTGGCAACCATTTTTCATTTAACTTCTCCCAGTCCCCCAAAATCTAAATGATTTGCAATTTTCATTAATCCTTATAATAAGTTATATTTTCCTACAAAAAATATTATCTTCGTTGCCTTATAGAACAGTTATACGCATGGGGGCCCGCAGAAAACTTTCTAGGGGGGGGGGGCGGCAAAAAAAATCGATTAAATTTCCAGGCGGGGGGGGGGGGCCAAAAACTTTTAGTAATATTTTTCATTAATCCTTATAATAAGTTATATTTTCCTACAAAAAATATTATCTTCGTTGCCTTATAGAACAGTTATACGCATGGGGGCCCGCAGAAAACTTTCTAGGGGGGGGGGCGGCAAAAAAAATCGATTAAGTTTCCAGGGAGGTGGGGGGGGCCAAAAACTTTTAGTAATATTTTAATATAGTTTAAATTTACTGTAGCGTATTTGTATGGTGAACGAACGGACAGGACATCAGCTTAGTTACTTTCTCTTTATTTTCTCTTTACTTTAATAAAGTTTTTGTCTATTTATGTATATTTTTTTTTTAATTTAATCAATCCAGGGGTGGGGATTTTGCCCCCCCCCCTTGTACCCCCCACCCTGCGGGCGCCCATGGTTATACGTGAATAATCTGTCTAATCAATTTATTTGATTACGTATCGTTTACTAATATCGTTATCCGGTTACAATCAGTCCTCGATTCAGTTCTTTGACCTCTTTTCAATTCTCTGACCTTTTGAAGTGCGCCCGCTATGCGGATCACAAGTAAAATTCATTAACAACCCATTACGTGATATTGTAGCTGAGCTCGAAAGTAGACTGACCAAGTCCAGCTGTATTCTGTGGGGGATCAAAGCGAGAAAAGGCAGGTGTAAAATGGGCGATAATTTTGTTTTGTTCACAAACCAGTTATTGCTGGGCAGAAATCCCCAGGGAAAATATCTGTTCACTATCGGCGTCACTTACAAACGGATCTTGAGAATTGAAACTTGTTTTATCGTGTACAATTAATAAATTCCTTGAAATGATGTGTATCAATTTTTTAATAAATCTCAACGCATGAAATTACCATAGGTCCGTTAATGCCATAACATGCTATAATAAAATTTATAAATATACTGTAATAAACATTTAAATAACACACTAAGATAAAAATTTATATGATATACAAATAGAAAGAGTTATATACTATATTAAGCATTTGCATACTATATTTAACATTTGTATAATATACTAAAATTTACTTAACAACTGGAACGTGCTTGATGAATAGAATAAAAACTGTCAACTGTGTTGAATGTAGAATTGAAACAAGTCAATTTTTTGTTTTTACTGTTCAGATGACGTATACTCGTATTTGTCAAACATTGTTTTTTATGGATTGTTCCACGCTTTCCCAAGTTTCGGTGTCTCATTGTGTGAAATATAGATCGCATAAATCCTAAGACTATTCCTCCTTACCATTCATTAAAATCGTTTGAATCTATTTTTCCACATTTACCAATCCCATTATTTTCAGATTTAAATGTTTACATTGGACACACTGTCTCACCCCAATTATTGAAAATTAAATGATATAATTATTATTTTTTTGTTTGTGTGTAAATTGCTATTTTATGAGCGGGAAAAAAATTGTTCCATCTGAAAATGCATTTGGAGTTAAGCCTCAACTCCTTACCCATAGGGATCCCAACCCCTTTAACTTTCTCTTTCCTCCTGTAGGGGTTCCAATGCTAGAATATAAAGGGACGAAGCACTCCCATCATACTTACTGAATAGAAAAATGACGTGACGCTGAAATTTTAAGTTTTCAGAAGTTCAAGGGAAAGTTTTCTGAATTTCAATACAAGATAATGAATCTCAAATTTATAACAAATAAAAACGAACACAATAAAAGATTTTCTGCAAATTATGATACTTAAAAATGTTTAGACTTGTTTTAATTTTTAAAAAAATGTAAGCTGTCACTCTCGTGTTTAAAAGACTGTTCATAAAGTTATGTAATTTTTTGAAAGATGTTAACTATCTATTGAGTGTCAGGCTATGTTATCCCGATCCCTAAGCTATGACTTGTTCTGTCTGTAATTTTGTATTTTTTAAAAAATGATGTTTGATTTTGTTGTATTTATTGTAATCCTCTCTACAACGGCGTAAAAAAATAGCTTTTAAAAATCTAAGAGCCCTAAGAAAGATTTTCTTTCACTATGTCAGTCACACTCTCGGTGTTCAACTTTGAAAAAAAAAAGTGGGGGAAGAACAAAGAAGGAACAAGATTAGTTTTTCTTTTCAATTATTTTATTATTAATGCGAAATAATTATTTTATAAAATGTAGAATATGTCTCTAGAAATCTAGTAAACAACTGTCATCGACTGTTTTGCAATCAAACTAGTAAAAAGCTACTTCCTGTTTACATTGACCACGTTCTGAAACATGAAAATCTTATCGTTTTATCATCTATAAGCTATCTAAGTATCACAAATCTTGTATGATTTGAATTAATTTATTACACTTCATTATTCTGACACATTAAGAGGCACATTGTCTTAACGCTTGAAATTTTGAAACTTAAAAATGAAGTCCAAGATGCAGAAGTTCTCGATGGTGAAAAAAAAGCCAGCACAAGTAAAGAGATCAAAAAATTTCAAGAAAATTCAAGAAAAACGACATAAAAAGCGAAATACAGATGACCCTGAAATAGAGGCATTGAATGCAAGACTTTGGCCATCCTTTGATCAGCCTAAAGAAGTATTTAAAACCTAAAGAAATCATTTTTGGCTAATGTGAAGAGATATCACCCTGACGTCATTTGCATGTTTTGTCCCTGGTTCCGATCGGGTCAAAACCCTGGTTCCGACGCTGATAGGGTCAAAACCCTGGTTCCGACGCCGATAGGGTCAAAACCCAGGTTTGGGATAAGTTTAGGGTTCAGGTTAGGTTTAGAGATAAATTTAGGACATAAGTTTGCAGGTTGCGGCAACCATGGTAAAAAAACGCGGTGCTATCTCTTCACATTTACCCATTTATTAATATAATGAAGGCTAGTTGTCTTTTGAGTGAGCATTTTTTATATTACACAATTTTTGTCATCCAGACTTCCTCTTCCTAAGAATAACTCATTCCACCCAATATTATAGGATGGAATTCTTTTCATAGTAATGCCTTTAAATGAACAAGTGCATGTTGTGGTTAATTTCCAGAGACACATTTAAACATAGAGCCTATGTATTATTTTGTAAATAATTTATTATAGCTACTTAAATTAAACTTAATACCATACAGCCTAATATAAAAGTTTAAGCCATGATAATAGCTCTGGAGGCTTAAAGAAAAGTAATTAAACTATTTTACTTTCATAGCATATCTTTCAATATCAAGGAATAACATCCAAAATGACAGACCATTAAAAAAAAAAGCTCAACAAATTCATACCTAAGTGGTATTGAAAGTGTCATGCTGCTGTTCATAATTGTTTAACAAAAAATATGCTAAGACCTAAAAGAAAAATCTCAAAGGCTAGTCATTACTATTGAGCTTTATATAATATTAAAAAAATAAAATAAACATACACAATATTTATATTATCCCTAAAATGCCAGAGAAGTATCAGTTAATGGGTATGAGGTTTTATTAAAAAAAAAGAAAATAGATTTGCTTTTTGTTTTGTTAAACCAGGGTTTGAATTTTTTTTTTTTAATTTACTTGGATTCTTGTAATTTATGATCATATTATCTCAGTAAAATATGAATTTTTTTAGGACATAGCACCAGCAGATATCAAAGCATTTACAGATCTTCCAATATCTAAGAAAACTCTGGAAGGTAAGTTTATCACAACACATGCCATTATACTAATATCCTTACTAGCTGTTTAGCTGATACAAATTTTAAGCCTTACAGTGATACAGAATTTATTTAAAATAGACATTCACATTGAATTAATAAATGTTGCGGTTACACACCATTATATGGTTTTTCAAATTTAATAGGTTTTAATATTAGGCTTGTTAAATGAACAATACGTAACTAAGGACTGAAAAAGCAGTACGCAAGGAAAAATGACACCAAAGCTAGTGATGTTAAAAATATTCAATTTATTTATACTATTTAGTTTATATAAAAATACAAAATCAAATATGCAGAAATAAAAACTATTAACTTTCAGCACAGCAAGTGGAAAATCTATAATTCTCAAAAGATATTAATGTACAGACACACACACACACAAAAATAGTACAATCTTGTAAGGTTCTTATAAATATATATTTAAGTCTCATAAGTATTACGTCTAGGATATCGTGCAAAAAAATCTCTTACAGCTGGGAAAGCTGCCCTTTTATTTTTAGGGAGGGAGTTTGAACCCTTCAGAAACGAAATTCTAAAAAGTGTATCATCCAATATCGTTCTTTAGAAAAAATTAGAAAATGAACAACCTTTTCCCAATCAAGGGAGGGGGGGTAATGGTAGAGTGCTACACATCAATCAGTTACGTCAATATCTAAACAAAATAGAGGGTGGTGCATGCCACAGCTCTACATTGAATAAAAAAATTAATCCAACAGGCATGCTATAACAGTTACCTTTTATTATTGCAGGACTCAAAGCCAATAATTTTACAAAGCCGACCGACATCCAGCGCGAATCTTTAATGTTTGGACTCAAAGGCCATGATATTTTGGGAGCTGCTAAAACAGGATCAGGAAAAACCCTTGCTTTCCTAATACCAGTGCGTTCAAGCCCTATGCTTTGTGTTTGAATATTAATTTTGCTAAAATGTATCTACTTAGAAAATTGCTCTGGAAATTGGACTTTTAACTTACAAAAATAAATAAAATATTCTTGACACATAGAGACGCCAACAAATCAGGAGGTCTTTTATGTTTTATAAAAATAAATAATTAAATGAAAACAACTTTCCATTTTGTGTTAAACATCAATGGTTCTTAAATTATACCATTGAAATTTTCACACTGATAATTTTCCCAGATTTTAGAAACGCTCTTTAAGCAGCGATTTACCCCAAGCTTTGGGATGGCAGCTTTAGTCATTTCTCCCACCAGAGAACTTGCCTACCAATCATTTGATGTGCTGAAAAAAATTGGAAAGCTTCATGAGTTGTCGTTTGGCCTTGTCACTGGAGGGATGGTAAGCTCTTAAATTACTTTTATTAAAAGTTGAAAACATGAATTCTAGTCTGTAAAAATTTATTTCATTATTAAAACATAGGTGACATATTACTTAAAGACCAAAGAAATAATTATGGATCTACACATAAATTAATATTAAAAAGGTGTAATTACTGTAATACAATAAGTATTATTTTTTTTTAATTGATGCACATTTTTATTAAAGCAAGTGTATCATTGGTTTTTTTGTTTGTTGTTTGTTCCTCGTCTAGAGCCTGAAAGAGGAAGCCAAGAAAATGAACAGTACAAATGTCGTTATATGCACACCTGGTCGTTTATTGCAGCACTTTGAGCAAACCCCAAATTTCACTGCTGATGAACTTAAAATTCTTGGTATTTTATGCAATGTCACGTCTATTATTATAATTAAATGTGAACAGTTTTAATATTATTGATTGTTCAGATATTATTTTTAATTCAATGTCTTGATAACATTTTTTTTGTTTTTATAATGAAGTAATTTCTATTTTTTTAAAAAGGAAATAGCTAATTTTTAAAATGGTAAAAGCCTTTAATAAACTTTTTTTTTTTTTTTTGGTATGCACTGGCTTATAATGATGATAGAGCAATGATGATGTGTGTTTATATTCATCTGACTGTAAGATGTTGTCTCTGTTAAAATATTTATTTATTTATATGCTGAAAATAAATGTATACAATGCAATGGAAAAAAAAACAATTCCATTGATGTGGATTAATAAAAGAATCTTATTTTTTTTTTTTTTTTTGGTATGCATTGGCTTATAATGATGATAGAGCAATGATGATGTGTGTTTATATTCATCTGACTGTAAGATGTTGTCTCTGTTAAAATATTTATTTATTTATATGCTGAAAATGAATGTATACAATGCAATGGAAAAAAAAACAATTCCATTGATGTGGATTAATAAAAGAATCTTATCTTATCTTTAAGGAGCTAATATGTGTTAATAAATGATACAAATTTTAACACCTTAAACGCCTGGTATGACACCGGGACTAATATTGAAAGGATTATGTGTTATTAATATGTCTTTTTAGCATGTTGGAATCATTTTTTTTTTTTTCTTAAAGAAGATATCATGGACGGTAATGTCATTTTAACTTAATTTTAAGCCTCTCCAGAATGCTTTTGGAATGGTCAAAGTTAAACTCGTTATGTTTCATTTTAAAGTGTTTATCTATTTCGGGTTTGGAAAAAACTAATTTTGTTTTAAAGGTGTAGGTTAAGTCTGCAACAATTTAAATCAAATATTTTATCCCCAGTGTTAGATGAAGCTGACAAGATCCTACACATGGGTTTCGCCAACACAATGAACGCAATTATTGAAGCTCTGCCCAGGCAGAGACAGACTCTGTTGTTCTCTGCTACCCAAACCAAGTAAGCTGTGTTCCATCTTACGGTGCAATAGCCATTTTAAATCACTTGAGCCTCAAGTTTGAAAAAATGAAACTCTTACGATGTCTTTTCTCTCCCAATGGTTTCAAATGTCCAGAGGAGTTGATTTACGTCATTGAGTTGTGAAGCTGTTTAAAAAAATAAATGCATTTCTATTTTTGTCTCCGTCAGGTCTGTTAAAGATTTAGCCAGACTCAGTCTGAAAAAGCCAATTTATGTATCGGTCCACGAAAAAGCCAAGGAGACAACACCAACCAGCCTACAGCAGGTAAGAGAAATAATAGTAACTGTCGAAACTGAATTGTGCACATAATTACATCTTGAAAATTATAAACCTAATTTTTCTGCTCAAACTCAATGAGTTATAGATAAGAGTTGGAATTTAACTGGATTCTTTTTACAGGCTGTTCATGTGCTTTCATCAATATTAATTTTTTTAATTATTAAAATTTTAAAGTAAATTTTTTTTTACATATTGCATTTTTATTTTATTTTTCATATCCACAGCGCTACATTGTGTGTGAAATGCAGGACAAAATAAATACCCTCTGGTCGTTTATCAAGAGCCACAAGCAAAAGAAAATCCTCGCCTTCTTGTCATGCTGTAAACAGGTGATGATTAATAGAAATTTTTTAATTTTCTTTCCGGCATCCGTCCATCATAATGGGACGATGGTGTAAACTTTGCAGGACGAAATCACAAGGCCTGGGATTTTTCTTTAGGAGGATGAGCTGGTTCCCTAGACAGAGAATCGCCTCTCTCCACGCACCTGGATAACCCAAGGAAACACCATGTGTGGATGATTAAGCTCAGCGCCATTAGCGTCACAGGAGTTGCTGGAATTTTTTTTGTGCCAATGTTATCTGCCTACTGGGCTCCATCTCCGGGTTTGATTTCAGAGTTTGCCTTCTCTTGGATGAGTTGCCGTCCAAGGTTTATGAGTCCCATCCACCCGAGGGGTGCTGGTGATGTTTTTGCAACTAGGCTTTGGTGGGGATCAAACTTCAGAACACCAGCTTTTTGGATTGACTCAGTATAAATGGTCATATAATGTGAAGGATTTTTTATTTATTCATGTGATCCTGTGCTGATGACTTCCCCCACTCTTCCCACACTCTTCCCCCACTCTTCCCACATTCTTCCCACACAGTTCCCACACTCTTCCCACACACTTCCTACACTCTTCCCCCACTCTTCCCACACTCTTCCCCCCTCTTCCCACACTCTTCCCCCACTCTTCCCACACTCTTCCCCCCTCTTCACACACTCTTCCCACACACATCCCACACTCTTCCCCCACTCCCTCCTCTTTCCTCTCACCCTATCCAACCCCTGAACCAATGTACTCTCATCTCTCTTCCCCCACTCCCTCCTCTTTCCTCTCACCCTATCCAACCCCTGAACCAATGTACTCTCATCCCACCTTCCCAAACACCTGTTCCTCTCAGCAGCACCCCCCCCCCTCAACCCCAAACCTTTGACCTAATTCATCCCAAAACTACAACATCTTCCTCCTCCCCTACACTGCCTTGCCCCCGGCACCCTGTCCTATTCTTATTCTAGATTCTCTATTACCCCCACCCTCCCCATGTGCTCCCCAGCCTTTCCACATTACTCACATTTACGCTACATACAGCACCTTATGCACTAAAGTTATGGTGTTATAAACAAAAGGCAGACTGCGCCTGGCAGGACATATTGGAAGGATGCCTGATTGTAGAGCAGCAGATTGATAATCAGGCAGAAATCTTAGGGGCAGATGACTCACCGGTTGCACAAGGCTGTGATGGATTGACGATGTAGAGAAGGATTTATACCAGTGGGGGGTTCGTGCATGGAGGCGGAAAGCCATGGATCGTTCCGAATGGAAGGATGTTGTGGACCAGGCCAAGACCTACATCTGCTGTAGCACCACTGATGATGATGATGATTTTGTAAACAATCGAAAAATAGTAGAGCTATTGGAATGTGTTTTGCACACTTGATGTGCAGTACATTAAACACTTTGACAGATGGTTGAGCTAGAGATTAAATTAAAAATTGCTGATTTAGGTGTTTATTTTACTCTTCCAGTTCACACAAGTAAAGCATCTTAGAGAGCAAATGTCCATTTTGTTTTGTGCTTTCCACAGACTCGCTACCTGTATCAGGTGCTGAAGAAGATGCATCCTGGTCTCACCATCTTATGTCTACATGGGCACATGAAGCAGCATCAACGCATGGAGGTTTACAACAGCTTCTCCCGTAAACAGCATGCTGTCTTACTGGCTACTGATGTAGCTGCGCGTGGTCTAGGTACTTTCATTTATGTCTGAATTTATATCCTCTGTTTTCATGCCCTTTCCATCTCCACTTCTCTTGTTTCATGCCCTTTCTATCTCCACTTCTCTTGTTTCATGCCCTATCCCTCTCCACTTCTCTTGTTTCATGCCCTATCCCTCTCCACTTCTCTTGTTTCATGCCCTATCCATCTCCACTTCTCTTGTTTCATGCCCTTTCTATCTCCACTTCTCTTGTTTCATGCCCTTTCTATCTCCACTTCTCTTGTTTCATGCCCTTTCTATCTCCACTTCTCTTCTTTCATGCCCTTTCTATCTCCACTTCTCTTGTTTCATGCCCTTTCTATCTCCACTTCTCTTGTTTCATGCCCTATCCCTCTCCACTTCTCTTGCTTCATGCCCTATCCCTCTCCACTTCTCTTGTTTCATGCCCTTTCTATCTCCACTTCTCTTGTTTCATGCCCTTTCTATCTCCACTTCTCTTGTTTCATGCCCTTTCTATCTCCACTTCTCTTGTTTCATGCCCTATCCCTCTCCACTTCTCTTGTTTCATGCCCTTTCTATCTTCACTTCTCTTGTTTCATGCCCTATCCCTCTCCACTTCTCTTGCTTCATGCCCTATCCCTCTCCACTTCTCTTGTTTCATGCCCTTTCTATCTCCACTTCTCTTGTTTCATGCCTTTTCTATCTCCACTTCTCTTGTTTCATGCTCTATCCCTCTCCTCTTCTCTTGTTTCATGCCCTATCCCTCTCCACTTCTCTTGTTTCATGCCCTATCCATCTCCACTTTTCTTGTTTCATGCCCTTTCTATCTCCACTTCTCTTGTTTCATGCCCTATCCATCTCCACTTCTCTTGTTTCATGCCCTTTCTATCTCCACTTCTCTTGTTTCATGCCCTTTCTATCTCCACTTCTCTTGTTTCATGCCCTTGCTATCTCCACTTCTCTTGTTTCATGCCCTTTCTATCTCCACTTCTCTTGTTTCGTGCCCTATCTATCTCCACTTCTCTTGTTTCATGCCCTTTCTATCTCCACTTCTCTTGTTTCATGCCCTTTCCCTCTCCACTTCTCTTGTTTCATGCCCTATCCATCTCCACTTCTCTTCTTTCATGCCCTATCTCTTCACTTCTCTTGTTTCATGCCCTATCCATCTCCACTTATCTTGTTTCATGCCCTATCTCTCTTCACTTCTCTTGTTTCATGCCCTTTTCATGCCCTATCTATCTTCACTTCTCTTGTTTCATGCCCTTTCCCTATCTTCATTTCTCTTGTTTCATGCCCTATCTATCTTCACTTCTCTTGTTTCATGTCCTTTCCCTATCTTCATTTCTCTTGTTTCATGCCCTATCTATCTTCACTTCTCCTTTTTCATGCCCTTTCCATCTGACAAGATGTATCCGACTTGCATTAATTACCCACATGAAATATAACAGATTTCCCTGTGGTGAACTGGGTTATACAGGTGGATAAGCCAGAGAATGTGGACACTTACATTCACAGAGTCGGACGTACCGCAAGGTCAGTACACAGTTCATTTTAAGAGTTTTATAAATGAGCATCAACAAGGCCTCCCTTAGGACCTTTAACATTCACCACCCAATTCATCTTAGTGAAATATTGGGGAGGACTCCTTGCTCAGGTTGAAGCAATAGAAAATAACTTTTTAAAAAGAAGCTTAGGGGAAAATCTGGAGGAAAAAAAAAAAAGAAACCCTATCACCTCGCCGTGCTCTGGAGCACTGCTTAAAATAAGTTGGGGTTTTGTTTTTTTGTTTTGTTTTTTTAATTGTTTAATTCTTCTAGCACTGTTTGCTGGAGAAGGCTTCTTGGAGAAATCATCAGAATTTTGTTTCTTCTCTTTTCCCCCCAGATTTTCCCCTACCATGTGCATTTTTTTGCTTTTTTATTCTCATCATCTTACAAAACTGACAGCACATGATTTACGACCAATGTATATATTACATTTTGATAAGTTTAATTTTTAGATCCAAGGAGGTTTTCGATTTGCGTGATTTTTTTAAAAACAATATTTGAACCAGGTATGAGAAGGTAGGTGAAGCCTTGCTCTTGTTGCTGCCCTCTGAGGAAAAGAAAATGGCGGAAGACCTTGTGAAAAGAAAAATACCAATAGTCAAGCTTAAGTGAGTGAAAATTTTGTGTTAGTTCTTATTCGGCCTGTTTGTCACCTGGTTACCACCCACCCGTATGGCGCTACAGCCCATGTTCAGTCTCCCAATATTTTTCATCTTCAATAGTGATGCTACTGTCACTCAGTGCTATTAGCTTAAATTAAAAGCTTTGCCCAATAAATCATTATTTCTCCTATGATGACTCCACTAATGCTCTTCTTTAGAGTTAACAAGAATCGTATGTTTGATGTCACCAAAAAGTTGGAGAGCTTGTGTGCAGCTGATAAAGACCTTAAAGACAATGCTCAGAAGGTAATAATAATAATAATTAACATTGATTTCATAATTTTTTAAAATATAACATCGATATTTCTATGTATCTATTTTGGTCACAGATTTTAAAAACATGTATAATTCATGTACAATGATAATCATAGGCTTATTTCCTTTTCAGCTCCAGTATTCCATTATTATGTATCAATAATTAATGAATGTTAAAAAAATCTTGCTTTTCTAACCCAGGCATTTATATCTGTGATGAAGACCCTTTATGTGCTTGACAAATCAAGTTTCCAAAGTGTTGACTTGGAGGCATTTGCCGCGTAAGTAGAGCTACATTTTTTTTAGCTACCGTCTCAATTTCGTTTGATGACATGTCTTCTGAAGATAAACTCAGCTGCTAGGTTAGTTCTAAAGGTAAAGAAGCATGATCATATCACTCCACTACCTCACGCACTTCATCGGTTCCCTTTACAGGCACGCAGTGATTAAAAGCCGTCTGTTCTCTGTCACAACTTTTTCTCTGGTTCCTGCCCGTCCTATTTTACTAAACTTCTTTTTGTATATTCACCCCTTCGACAGCTTGGGTGGGCAGGCCAAATCTTTTTTACAATGCTGTTTTAAAATTTTTTTTTAATGTCATGTTTTATTTTTTGCTGGGGTACTGCGCTATTTAAGACCACATAAATAATAATAATATGGCAGAACCCTTTCACTGGCTATGATTGGAGAAGAGAAAATAAATTTAAACAATGTTTTGCCATCTAGATCTCTAGGTTTAGTGCAAGCACCAAAACTCCCTTTCCTAGAAAAGAAGAAAAAATCAGAATCATCAACAGGAGCCTCTGTAACAGAGTTAACAAGTACACAGGACGATGATGAAAGTAGTGAAGAAGATGATGATGATTCTGAGGATGAAAAAAGCAGTGACAATGAAGGGGATGTAAAAAAATGGCTGAAAAATAAGAAAACTCTCAAGTGAGTTGTGTGATTATTTGAAGTGCATTATAAATATTCATCACTCTTTAATATGTAAGAAGCGAATATAACAATTTGATTTTAAACATCAATTAGTAATGAAAAACCAATTCACAAAATGGAATTGTTTAAATATGAGAAAAGAAAAGGGAGCAAACCAAGCCGCATCTTCCACTCTCAATAACTTGACTTTTATTTGTTTAGTTTTGGTGTAAACAGCGATGATGATGATGACGACAATGACGGAGACATTTACAATGTGGTTAAAGACGTCAAGCCAGGTGAAAATGAAGAGAGCACTGGTGACAATGAGCAGGTCAGTCACCAGTTGATCAGGGTTGAGAGTTATTGGTCAGGTTTATATAAAATAAATAAAAAACATGAAAAATTCTGTTCTTTGAAAAATGAGAAACTTAATTCAGTTACATTTGAAGCTGTCGTAGCCCTGAACATTCATATCTGAACTTCCTTTAACACAGCTGGCGCTGGTTGAGGAGACGAGGTCATCCAAGAAAAAGTCCAGAGCCAGGGAGAAGTTAAAGCTGCTCAAATACACAACCAGGATCACCTTCGATGAGGAAGGAAATGTAAGACTTTCTAATTTAATGCATTTTAAAGAAGCTTGTTGATCGAGTCAAAAAACTAATGTCCCCATTTTTCTTAAGCTTGTAGTATGACTCCTTTAAATAAATATGGAAAAATAATAATAAAACAGCAGAATATTATTTATATATAAAAAAATGAAACAAAAAGTTTTTAACACCAACATGGCACTCAATGTTTTACTTGTGTACATGATTAGTAACCAAAGTTTTGAAAAAATGAGAGTTAAAATATAAATTTTTATTAACATGTAATTGGCAATATTTTAATAAAGCAAGTTTATTTAATTATTTTTTTAAAGTGTTTATTATGCTCCATTATCTCTAATTTTAAAACACTCCGTCTCGTGGTTGAAGATTTACTTTTTTTTCTCTTGGGTATTCTTGTTTTTATATGTTTTTTTTTTTTTTCAAACAGGTGGAGGGACAAGAGAGTGATGATGATGCTGGTGGGTTGAACATTGATCAGGCCAGGGAGAGAATGAAAGAGCGAGACAAGACAGACAAAGAGCTTCAAAGACAGCGAATCAAAGAGCAACACAGGGTGAGTCAAATTATTAGAACATCTGGGAAAATTCTGGAGCATTAAAATTTTATTTCAGCTCATTTGGAAAATAATAAAAATCAAACTGAATTCCACAGAGAGCTGATCAAGACAAATGTGTGGGATATCAGAGTAGGAAAAATTACTTATAAGTGACTAAACAACTTTTATGATTTAATGTTATATTCAAGATTTAGTAATCACATCAGTTTTTTTGCAATAATGGTTCTGACCAATGAGCATTGCTTATTTGCTGATCTGAGTTTTTATTCTAATGCAGGAACAAAGGCTGAAATTAAAGGAAAAAAGACGCTTGGCTGAGATGGAGAAACGAGGGCAATCTGTAAGTACGAATGGGGTTGGGTAGGATCCATTTTCTTCATTTCATTATATGCTCATATATTATTATAATAATAAAATCTTGATTCAATGTGTTTAATTAATTGTGTAAAACGATTGATTGCAAGCTAACCATTTCCTGTTAAATTTCATTATTTCTGTATATCATTCCAAAATAGGCTACAGAGAATGAAGTAGTTTTAGACACGCCTGATGAAAGTTCTCCGAGTGATGATGAGAAAGTCACTGAACAGTCAGATAATGACCATTCCGAGTCTGATGAAGAGAATTCAGATAATGCTCAAGCTGATGAAACAGAAGATGATGAGTGAGTTGGTTTTCGTATGGGTCACTTATCCCCCTACATCACACCCCCCCCCCCCCTCCTATTCTCCCAAATAATTAATTTAGGCTGTTTAATAGTCAGGATTACAAATTTTGATGAAGACAATTCAGGTCAGTGCCAAAATTACACTCACATCAAAGTACCGGTACCAGTCTTAAGTGATTAATTTAAATATGTTGAATAAATGTTGAAAGTTGATTAAATTTTATTTTTTTACACCACTGTTTAGACCCCTGCCCAAAAAACGAAAAGTTGTTGCAAATGTCTCGGACGAAGAAGACATTCAAGATGATAGTTCAGATGATGATGAAGATCAGAGTTTTGATGGAGACCAAGCCTCTGGAAATGAAAGTGAAATCGGAGCAGAAGATATAGAGCAAGAGGAAGCCGCAGTATTAGCTTTGCTGGGAGGGACAAGATGATTTTACTTACTAGAATGTAAAGAGAATGTGTTGGTATGTTAGTGGTAGCTGGGTGTACATTTGTTTTAGAGAGAATTTGGAGTAAAAGTGAACAGCTTAGCAGAAAAATACTGAGTTGTAATGAGTGAACAATTACTGTAAAATTGGTTGTTGGAATTAAATTTATAGTTAAATTATTGTCTTTCTTCATCAATTTCATTTATTGCATTCATACTGTTTTCACATAGACACAGAAGACATCAAGGATTATCCATTTTTTCTCTCTCAAGCTCATACTAATTGGGTCAAATAGCAGACTAGTAAAAAATGTATTTTCACACACACATTACACTTTCAATTTTTTTTTTTTATAAATGAAACAAGAAGACAATTTCAATATTCAGCTTTATTATTTTTGTTTTAAAGTTTGTTGATGAATTGGGTTTTAAAAAACAAAACATAAAATTTACTTTGAAATGACAACAATAATACCTACCTGCAAGTAATCAAGAACAAAGATTTCAGTACCGGTACATATAGCACAATGCTTTAAATGCACTCAAAACATTTTGCATTAAGACAGTTGATACACAATTAACCAGAAATATAATTTCTTCTCTCTGTAATATTGTTTCTAAGAACTGACTGTAACTGCTTTTTAAAAAAAAATGTTAAACTGAAAACTGTTAATGTGTTAATAATTCTTAACCTTAATAACATCACAGAGTGCAAAGTGCATTAGGGTTGCACCAATTAACAAATTCAGCAATTATCTTTTAACGATCTACAAATTATTGTTTTGAAAATTTAATTAAAGTTGATTGTAATTAATAAAATAATAATTATTAAAACAAAGTGAATGAAAAATAGATCTTAAACATTATCTTAAACATTAGAACCTTGCACCCAGACAAGGGAATCAGCCACTGATCAAAGGCTGATGTCATCCCAGTGAAAGAGAAAATAGTGCCCAGGTCTAATTTTCACAAATTAATTTAAAAATAAAATCCAAGTTTAACAACAAAAAAAACTTAAGCGCCATCAACCAGTGGTAAAAATATAATAAAATAAATATGATAGCAAGCCTGTCTGGGAACTTAAAATCTTTTTTTGGTGAACTTTGATTTATTAAAAATATTAACCACTAACATCTATGGAGCATTTTCTGATAACTAAAAGTTGATCACATGGTGAAAAAAAAAAAGAATGAAACCGATTTATCCTCAAAATACCAGACTTGATTATATCATTAATCGGTGCAACCCTACCCTGGATTAAGACATTAATCAACACTGTTGTACTACAAAAACTATACTTGAGCCATTTAATTCTTTGATAACAAATGCAAAGTTGTCATTAATTTTTAAAGTTCATTTCATTGTCTCACTGCCAAGATTTCAAAAATTTAAATTATAAATGTTTACAACACGTGCCTGATAAAAGTTACATTTATACAAGGGCCCCCACAAAGCAAACAAAATAGACCTGTTTTTAATTCACATCATAATTCCTGTGGATACATACTATGTGGACTGGAGTAAAATAAGTCTCCTGACAATAGATTTTTCTTCTTCAAATAAGTACTTTCAAGTTCACCGTGGTGGTAATGGCTCTAATTATTTCAGTACTGCCTGTAGTTTTGACTTCTTGTTTCAGCCTTGTATAAAAGGGTTAAACATTTTATGATTTTTTTTTTTTAATACAATTAATTCTTTTCAAATAATAACTAAGAAAAATTGTGGTCTAGTGCATCTTTTCAATAACATGTACTTTTTATGACTGCTGCATTCTAAAGCAAAAGTAAATCAAACTTGACGAAGACAAGAAATTCTAATGTAACATTGTGCAATGATGGGAACAAGCCACGACTCAAAAGAGTTTATGTATTATTTAAATGACTTTTAATTACCTTTACAAGTTTAAATACTATTTATGTTCTTTTCTAGAAATAAAAGAAAAGGAGAAAAAAAAGGCATCCTTAGCACTCCGTCTGTGTTTTAAAACTTAATAAATATTGAATAAATCCAGAAAAAAAATATACAGGGTTTTAAAAAAAAAAAATTTGAATTTACAGATATGAGCAAGTCAAAGTGTGATTGATGTAGATTGTAGAGCAATGAATAATTTACATGAATGTCAGGTGCTTTAAAACTTCCTGTAGCTTCTAGAAGTTAAAAAAAAAAAAAATTCCTGACATGATAGATAAATAATACAATGTGTCATGAAATGGGATAAAAATGTTGCTGCTTTGGTAAAAAAAAAAAAAATTTCTAAAATTTTTAAAAATTTTTCCTGTAGCTTCTAGAAGTTAAAAAAAAAAAAAAATTCCTGACATGATAGATAAATAATACAATGTGTCATGAAATGGGATAAAAATGTTGCTGCTTTGGTAAAAAAAAAAAAAAATTTCTGAGATTTTTAAAAATTTTATGTGTGTGCCTAAAGATGGATATTATGCCTAAGTACCCCAAAAAGTATCTCCTATGTGGAGTATATTTACATAAGTTATGATTGAAATGCGTGTTAATGTTTATGTAACAAACCAAAAATTGAGGGTATAAAATTACAAACATAAGCCAACTGTAGCCAAACTAAGAGCTTTCAAGACAATATACCATTGAATGATTAAAATAATACAATTTAGCTATCAGTTACTATTGACGTACTCATACACACTAAACATATCCCAACCCAAATAATAACCAGTGGATGCAGAGAAATAATCTTTTTGTAAGAGAGGACAGAATATCATCTCGTAACTAAGAGAAGGGTCCAAATCTTTTTGGACGAGTAATTTTAGTTAATGATAAAAAAAATAATGCTTTAATTCACAGTGTATGTCTACTACAACATGCAGTTATTGAAGTATCCACTGGGTGGAACCCACCTGACCAAACTGCATATCAAAACATATTGGTAGACAAAAAAGATCACATGTCAACCCAGATAACGTGTTACACAACAAATATTCACAAGAGGGGGAAAAAAAAATTATTAAAGCTTTTAACAAGTATGAGGTAACAGGATGTTCAAGTCTAAAAAAAATCAGAAGGTCCCTTTCATCACATATGGAGCACCTTAGGTCAACTTCTCTTCAAATTTGATTGAATTTATAATCAAATTACATTGTCAAGCAGGGTTTTGGTTGGGTTGTGATTTCCATTTGTTCTGAACTAAAGACAAAACATTTTAATTGCTATAGTCAAAGGGCCCGCCCCTCTGTGGTGATTGGACAATGTTGGATGAACATTACTACACAGTCATGGAAAAAAATTTCACTTTAAAAGACGCAACCGCAGAAAAGCTTACCAACATGAATCGCGTCACAAAATTGAGAAAAAAAAAAAAAAAACTTAAGCATTTTTATATATAAAAAAAGAAAAAAAATAAAAATTTTTCTTACCAACAAATAAAACTAAACAAAACAAAAAATTTGGCTAAATAAAAATAAAACATTTTAATGGCTATAGTCAAAGGGCCTGCCCCGCTGGGGTGATTGGACAATGTTGGATGAACATAACTAAAAAGTCAAGGAAAAAAATTTCACTTTAAAAGACGCAACCGAAGAAAAGCTTACCAACATGAATCGCGTCACAAAATTGAGAAAAAAAAAAAAAAAGCTGTAGCATTTTTATTTATTGAAGAAGGGAAAAAATCTGAATTTTTCCTACACACAAATAAATCTATGCTAAACAGTAACTTTGGCTAAATAAATATTATTTATTAATTGCAGTGACAAAGGTCAAAAAGGAAAAAAAAGCCAATGCAGAGTATAATATGAAATAGTACTGATTCCCAACTACACAAACACCATAGCACAAAGCCATATCTACAAGCGCACACAATCCTCAGGTATAATTAGCAAACTTGTTAGCAGTTCAATTCAGTAGCTTTAAAAAAAAAACAAGAAAAGGATAGTGACAAAAATGATTATTTGATAAACACCGGTTGAATGAGAACTTGTGCTTAAACAGAATTGGTGTCCAAAAAAAAAAAAAAAAAAAAACAAGAAAAGGAAAGGAAAAAAAAAGATTATTTGATAAACACCGGTTGAAAGAAAACTTGTGCTTAAAAAGAATTGGGGACCAAAAAAAAAAAAAAAAACGAACATTAGAAGAGTTTGTGATCAATCATGACAGGTTCTGTGTACAGAAACTCATAGCCATAGAAATTTCGTGATGTCATAGCCAGAAAGGTTAAGTCCCCCAAAGAATAATTCTCCAGCAACAACAACTCATTTAGTTAATGTATGCATTGTATCTATAATGATTCAACAGAAACCTATGGAAGATGATTAAATCAACATTACTTTCACCGACAGGGTAGAATTTAGACCTATGTTATGATGCTCAGTAATGATAAATATTGTAAAACAAAGACCGGAAAAGGCTTTAAAAATTGTGCGTGTGTGTGTGGTGGATTTTTAAGCAATCTAAACTATAACATATGACTAGAGTGAAAAGGGCGCAGGATCAAACTGCAGATTTCTAATGCATTTCAGTTGAAATAACTATAAAAAAAAAAAGAAAAGGTAGAACATGTTTCCCTTTAAATTCATGTGACTGATAAATGCTTGAAGAAACAAAAGGAAAAATTATCACAAGATGTTTTTTCTCACAGTACAGTAGGCCTAAAGTTCCACAAGCAAAGCACAATGTCAAGCTGACTTGTGAAAGTGTGCACATCTCAAAGTGAAATACAATGCCATCTAAGTGAACGCTTGCTGGATAGGCCGGGGACAATGTTACTTAAGTACTCTATTCTAAATGCCCAGACAATCATAGACTAAAGAATAGGCTTACATAACAGTAAGTCACAGACAAGCTGATGCCATAGAAACTAGGTTAGTTTAAACTCCCAAATTGTCCCAAATTGTTGTCACGACGTTCACAAGCTTCAACAAAGAAAAAGTACAAGCTATATATATATATATATATATATATATAATATATATAATATATATAAAAACTATGCCAGGTTTTATTGGAGCACAGGAGCCTATGTAAAACATTGGATGGTACACTTTCTTTATTTGGAAACCAAAACGACACTTTCGTTAAGCTTAAAATAAAAAGAAGTAAATTCTATGTTAATTCAAGGACAATAAATTGGGTTTCAGTTTGTTATTAGATGTCAACATGAAAGTGAAATGCTCAGATTAAATGTACTGCTTTTGACATCCACTTCAAATAATAAACAGCTATGACGTATAACACTAAAAGGGTGCAGATTAAAACAAACATTTTTACAAGAAACTGCTTCCTCTCCTCGACTACAGACGCTGAAGCATCAGATGAGAAATATGGTAAGCCGGCAAAGAAAATAAATAATATTCAGTAAGCTGAAGCAGACAATGTCATGATAAATTACAATCTTACCAGCTGAGAAATGTTTGTACAAATATCTTACAACCATTACCACACTGTCTCTGCCGTCCATCTGCACAGACAGGAACAGAGGCTTTTTCAAAATTTGTGAGTTATTTTTTCAAACTTCAGATTCTTAGAAAGAAATGATAAAAGAATGCATAACATTTAGACTGTCAACTGTAAATACACAACTACATTTGTTTGAGTAGCAAGACTTACATTTTTTTCTTTACAGCTATCGACTACTTTTACTTCTCTTTTAAGATTGCGAATATAAACTTTATCAAACTATAATTTAAATACACTATCACTCAAAATGTACTGGGATTAACTTAAAAACTGGTTTGAATTACAAAATTATTGACAGTATAGTCAGAACTCTGGCTCTTGTTTTCATGACTAACACTAACATTAATTCTTGAGATCTTTTTATCCTAATACAAATAAAAAAATAAAAAAATCGTTTTTTTCTTAAAATATTAACTGACACTTAATCAGAGCCTTATGTCTTAAAATAGTGCTAGTGGCCTGTGTTTTGATTACAGAACCCGTGTAGAAGCTGCAGTGTTGCACTGAACAAACCAACACAAAATTCTGCTTCTCTTTGTTGAGCTAAAAAAAAATTTTTTAAAATTTGCTCACTTTAAATCCCAATGCAAACATAATTTATTTCTTGTTTGGTCAGTGTTTTTACAAAAACAAAACTAGTGAATGTCATTCACATGAAAAATTTCCTGGAGAATTTATTTAAAAAAACCAAAAAACAGATTCATCCTTATGATTTTAGATTGTGCACATTTTCAACACAATTACTTTTCACTCCCGTTATTTAAAATAAACGGGAGATATTTTTTTTTGTTGAATCTAGCATTTGTTTAAAATAGAGTTTTAAAAATGGGTGTAGCTAATAAAAAAAAAACTCTGATTCACCTCATTATTGAATTTCAAGAGTTGGGCGACAAGAAAATCACAGAAAGATAGTATCGACTAAAATTTAAGATTAGTTAAAATTTTTGACAAAAATTATTGAATCTTTTATTAACTATGTATAAGACCAGCAAAAAAAAAAAAAAAAAAAAAAACATGCATGACTTAACAGAAAAAGAAAAAAGGATAATTGTCACTTCTTAGTTTATTCAGTTTTTAAAAAAAAATCTAAAATTTAAGATTAGTTAAAATTTTTGACAAAAATTATTGAATCTTTTATTAACTATGTATAAGACCAGCAAAAAAAAAAAACAAAAAAAAAACATGCATGGCTTAACAGGAAGGGAAAAGGGGATAATTGTCACTTCTTAGTTTATTCAGTTTTTAAAAAAAAATTTTATGCAAACTATATATAAATATTTCTATGAGACTTCAACGAGAGCAGTGAATGAAGTAGCCATTTTTATTATTTCAAAGATATATTTCAACAATTTAGGCTCCACGTTAATTCTGTGTGTGCTCCTGAGCAATTATGATAAATTGAGATATATGAATTACCACCATAATCGTTCATGCCGTATCCCCCACTTTACGTCATCTCAATCAATAACAAGTGAATAAATAAAAACCTTTTTTTAAAAGTTTAATTTCAGCTTGGAACCTCAACCTTTTAATTTGCTTACGATTGCAGAAAGCGTCTTAGGGATAAATAACACAGTTAGGTCACAAGTCTGTTATCACACACCACACACTTTAAAAAACATATATATATATTTTTTAATGAACCAATCATTCTCCCATTTATCTGGTTGAAATAGCATGTTATATAATCCCTGTCTCTTACTACCACTTAATTAATGCTTAATTTTGAATTTTTTTTCCCTACCAAATTATTCTTTAATGGAAAATTGTTTTAAAAAGCTGCTATGAATATATTTTTAAACAAATGCATGACATAAAACAACAGACATTTGTAATGCGCAAACTGAAATCTCAAACTTGCTCCATCTATCGGGGACTTAATGCCATCTGAAGCCCACCTTAGAAACTTAAGATGATTGGATGATTGAGAGGAACTTAAATCCATTTAGTTTTTTTATAAATAATTTTTTAGCACTCAATTAAGTTGAAATTATCGGGGGGGGGGGGGGGGGGGGGGGGGGGGGGGGGGCTGGGGAACAACTTAAATCTGAAATCAACGAATTAGTATTACAGCACATTCCGCTTTGGGAGCAGTCACTTCGTGACCAATCCGATTAAAATGTTTAAAAATGGACATTTTCAATCCTGCAAAACATTTGCACCACTGTGAGGTGCTATAAGGCCAAGCTTGTGCTTCCATAAGCCATTTTAAAATATCCCCCCAGAGACAAAAGTGGGAAGAAGGTGAAGGGGAGGGGGGTGGCTGGAGGTGGAAGTGGAAAAATATAGAACATTTTTCACACAAAGAAGATACAATTTCCTGAGAAAAATGAAAGATATTTTTTAATCATTCATTAATTTTTTTTTTAAGAACATCTGGAAGTTTATCCATTAGTGCTGAATTAATCAAATCAAAGCATGCCAGATTGCATTTATTTTATATTTTAAAAAAACTGAAGTAAATAGGTCACTTTTTTTTCTTTCTTTTCTTTCAAATAAAAATCAGATTTTTTTTTCACCATTTAAATAAGATCAAACATGAATAAAATAAATAGTTCAAATTTAACACAACACATAAGTTAAAAAAAGGACATATATGGCATGATTAAAATGTTATTGACATAGTTCTGAATGCATGTTTAATATAATGCTACACAATGTAACCTGTTTGCAGTTGGCTTGTCCCTGGAAGTACTTGGGCGTGTGAATGAAAGACTTTGTTTGGGTGAAGAAAAAGTGCTGTCCTGCCATACTCTGATCGGAAATATCTAAGGCATGTGCATCATACGGGTATGTGTCGATGGATAAATTCAACAATCACTTTTGTTTTCTGGATCAGTGAAACCCAACCATTATAGCTAGTAGGGTGATCACTGGTTCGGAGACTTTTTTTTTTCGAATAAAAAGTGGAGGCTGCAAGCAGTCATCATATAAACGATCTATTATGCTGTTAAAAATTACCTTACTTTTCTTTCTAACAAAATGGTCAGTAAAATGATATAATAAGAGCACTGTTTTCGTCACAGTATGGCAGGGCGTATGTTGCAATAAAAAAAACCCCATGAAATCATGGGTTTATTTGAGTCTTAGAGAAATCTGTGGGGGAAAAAATACCTGATTATAGATGTACTTCCTGTTAAAAGTTTCATTTTAACATCGCAAGACACTAATAAAACATATGTATTTAATGCTTGCTGTGACCAAAAATTGGTGGTAGTAAAAAAATAAATAAGGTCTGCTAAAATATATTCTCTTTAAAAAAAAAAAAAAAGAACAAAGCAAAACAACATAATGAATTTTGTTTAATGCAGCAGTAAATCATAAGACCTGCATTTCTATTTTCCTTCCAAAGATAATGGGACTGTGTGAATATACAATGCTGCTAGATTTGCTTTGGCTGTCGGCATTCATTGAAACAAATGTAACTTATCGACATTTACTGTGTTCATGATCATAACTTCTATATATATTTTATATATATATATATCACTGTGGACGTAGTTTCATGAACCTTGTCTGTCGGTATATCAACTAAAACTAAGGCATATATCGTGTAAAAAGTCTTCATAAAGTTTGTTGTTTTTTTTCCTTCACAGAACTCTCAAAGATGAGGTTATATAGTATTTGAACATAGGAAGGTAGCTTTACGCCTGTGATAAATTAAGAGTGAACACACAGAACTGCAGGCGGATGAATGAAAGATCCAGACCTAACAGATCAAATGAGGCAATCATGGCTTCAAGGAAGTTTGTCAGGCATGTGTACTCACGTTTGAGGCCACAACAAACAAGACCTTCATGCCTTCAAAAATTCCTTCCTTAATGTATGTCTTTATTTATCAAGTTGCAATGTACATTGGTAGTGAATATAGTGTGTTATTGCAAATGAAAGATTGACAAAGCCATCAACTAAGATCTTTTGGTATTTAAATTAAAAACAGCTAATAAATTAAATAACCTCTCTGTAACATACAAAAAGGTAATAAAATGCCAATGGGAACTACCACAGCACCTCATCTGGGTTCTGAGTAAACCAAGTTAGCACGATGGAAAACTACTGAAATTATTTGATGGCTTTGCAAAATGTTGACTGGTTATTTGACAAGAGATAGTAGCTGAGCTTAAGAGATTGGTGATTTTGATGGAAACAATGATGCTACAGTGATCACCTCAAACTAGTTGTAAGAAAACATTTGTATGAATTAGTAAATTCAGTTGCAAGGAAATTAATGTTTACAGTAATGTGTTAATACAATTTAACACATCCGGAGGAAACATCAGTAAACCTTGATTTAGAAGAAAAAAAAAGCACTTAGTATAAGCTTACGACACTCATTCTCTACAGCACAGCTACATATCCGTGTGTTTGCAAATCACTATTTTCACATGAATAGTTAAATTTTTATACTGATATATATAATTCTCTTTATATTAAAAAAAATCAAACGATATTTAAAATAGTCATAACTTAAACTAGCTAACACCAACTTGAACAATAATCATACGTTTTTTTTATTTAGATATTTAACAAAAAAAAAATATGAATAAACACGCACTGAGGAGAACACAGAGCTACCTTTAATACTATTTACAAAGTACCGAGTTCTTTTTTTAGATTTCTAATACACTTACAGAGATTAAAAACAAACAACAAGACGGAAGAACCTAAGCCTAGCCGTGTATCAAAACTGGAAGCCACCCATTGGGGTACTGGTGTCTCCGGTAAACTGGTATTGCTGTGAAGCCTGGTCCAGCTGAGGCACAAGGGCTTTGTCTTCCTCTTCTGTGCCAAAGTACCGCTCAATGATGTCAAATGCCTTCTGGTAAATTTCACGATTTTCATGGCTCTGCAAGAACTCAATTTTATCCAGACCTATAAGAATAAAAGCAATTATGCATAGATATTTTTTAACTTGATCAAGTATGTTGATGACCCAAGAAGTAAAAACCAATGTATCCCAGTTTCAATTAAAACTTTCATCATTCATATTCAGCTTCTATCCATATTCTATTGCAGTTGCAATGGTTCCCATTCTTTAGAATCAGTTTTTATGAGCGAGCCTTTATTTATACAAGTTGATAGTTTTTTAGAGTTTCTTGAAGCCGCTAAACCCCAGAGAAAGGCATTCTCAGCCAGTCTTCTACTGTAACCATTCATCATGAACACTTGAATAAAATGATCACGATTTTAGCAAACTAGGCAGAGAGTCAAACTCTATATAATTAATATATATTAATAATTAATATGTGAAGTGCCATTAATTTACATATCATACGTAAAAAAAAAAAAAAGAGATTAAAATGCAAACAGAAAAGTGTGTAAAATCAAGAGCAGAAGAATTTAAAAAGCTGTGCAAGAATTGTAAATTCAGTAGTTAAATTCTTCTACCAGTTTATTTATTATAAATAGTTTATAACGATTATAAATTGTATTTATAAAATTATTAATCGTTTTTATTTATAATTATCAAATTGTTTATTGTACCTCAAAATATTAATGAGTGCTAGTTTAATAATCTTCCAAAAAATCACATGGAACAGCAAAGGAACTCAAAATTACATAACAAGACTCATAGACTTAAGGGATGAAAAAAAAAATCTTAATTTTCATACTTCTTGAAATGTTTAATACATTTTTAGAGGAACACCAAAATATTCAATTGTAAGACACCCCCCCCCCCCCAACCCACCACCACCCAAAAAAATTAATATAATAATATAGACTTAAGGGATGAAAAAAAAATCTTAATTTTCATACTTCTTGAAATGTTTAATACATTTTTAGAGGAACACCAAAATATTCAATTGTAAGACACCCCCCCCCCAACCCAGCACCACCCAAAAAAATTAATATAATAAAGAAATGTTATAATATGCATATTTCTAAAAAGAATTAAAAATGAGCTTTGTAAGTGAAACTAACCATAACATTCTTCAATCATTACTGCAAATGGGTTGACACCATTTCCCTGCTTGGCATCAGATTCTCCAAGCCTGAGAATATTCTCCAGGCCGTTAAGAGCTACCTGAACTATTTTACTGTCCATCACGGTCAGTAAATCACAGAGGGGTGGGATACAGTTCTGATCCACAAGGAATCTACAAAGAAACAAAAGAATAAAATACAAATTTACAGAAAAGAAATATTCTACTCTGGACAGATTGGCATTAACAATGCTCTGGGTTAAAAAAGAAATAATTTAATATCAATTCAATTCTTTTAAAGAGAGATTAATTAAACAATTTAATTTATCTTAACTATGCACACGGTACAAATATTTTCTTGGGAGATTATTTTCCCTTTGAAATCAGGAACTAGGCTAATAAACATTACTTTAACATGGGCATAGCAAAGAGGAAATATTAAAATTAAAAATTATAAAATATTTTAACAAAAACTAGATATTTTTTTATGCAGTGATTGTAATTACCAGTATGTCATTAGTTTTTAAAAAACTAAATTAATATTAATAACAGTCAGGTCTTACTCTGTTGTGAAAGAAATCAAATAACTGTAATTAAAATAATAAAATTAATTTGTGTTACAATATTTATAAAAAAAGAAATGTATGTATATATATAAAAAAAATATTTCAGTTCTTAGTGAGAGTAATAAAGTGGCATCTGACAAGTATGGGTTTGTGTCCTGGCTTACCTAATCTGCTCTGGAGAGCCCCCTGAGGTGGCATTGGCTATTGCCCATGCAGCTTCTTTCCTTGTTTTGAATTCAGCTTTTCCCAAAATATCAATAAGGACAGGAAATATATTACAGTCTATCACATTCTGAAATGATAAAGAAATTCATGCCTCTTGTTATCTCAATCTATCATTAAGAACTCTAATTTTTTAGCAAAGGGCATTTTATACTGCGTTACCTAAAGACTAAAATTTATGGCAATATTTTTTTTTTTTATTTATTTAAATAAAGGAGTAATGTCAGTTGTCTAACCAATATACCGCAGCAGAGAGTGTACAAAGGTTTTCTAGCAGTATACACAAGGTCTCACCTGAATTTGCTGCCTGTTACCGGCAGTGATATTTGAAATAGTCCAGCAAGCTTCCTTGCGAATGGACTCCTTAGAACTGGCCAGCAGATGCAGCAAACAAGGCAGGGATGAACAGTTAATAATCACCTGAATTGCAAAAAAATAATAATAATAAACTGAATGATACATTCATATAGAAACCACATAGGGGTCAGCAGAACATGACAAATTATGGTTAACTGAAGGCAATCTATCAAACGATTATTTGAATTGTAATTTTTTTTGTCATGTCCTGCCGGAAAGAAATGAAAAATTTTAAGAACCGACAAAGTGACAAGGATGAATGAATTCCAAACTTCCTGAACATTTTATAATAGAACAACAAGGAAGGTTCTAAAAAGACCATCTTTTAAAGCATTCACTGAAATAGTTGACTGGGTTTAGTACAAAAGAAACCCCAAAAAAAATTCAATAAACCACAAACACTATAGGACAAGCCAGTACAAGAAAAAGAATAACTACAAAAGGGAAAAAAAAATAATAACTAAATGATACATCAAATATCATCAAAGAATTATAGAGTCAGCAAGGCATAGCTGTTAAGTCACAAACAAAATACAATGGCCTGCAAAAAAAGGAAAAACAATTATTTCGTTGCAACAAAATACAAGTTGGAGTAAACCAAATTCAGTCTACTCTGGACCTTAAATTTGAAGCTAAGGAAAAAAAGGCCCCAGAAGATGGAATCATAAAACAATGTAATTTGAGAACAAAAAGCGAGCAAGGCATCCATAAGCAGTTGTTTTCTCTTCAACTGCAGCAACTCTGAACGGTTAAACAGAACTTGGTAACTGAAGATTGTGTAACAAACCTAGGCCGGGCTGTATTCATATAAAGAGATAACTATTCAAACTGCCCTGTATCCAAGAATCCTCACCTGCCCTGCTGAAAAATGGGGGTTTAGCTTCTCATGAATCAGTATTACGTTACATTGTTCTCGCATGGATCATTCAGGCTTTCAAGAGTTGATCTTTCAACAATCTAACAAACACCTCATATATTTAATATCAGGACTTTTTCACACACTACAATGTTGGTATACACCCTACAATCTTCATTCAAAGGCATTTTTATGAAGTTATTTTGTAGACAGATTTTGCTTCATGTCACAAATATTATAATGAATTTATTGTAAATAATAATTAATCAGAGCTGCTGATAATGGCACTTTGATACAAATGCTATCCATTTTAAACTTGTAAAACATGTTGCATGTAGCCTAACATCATCAAAATGTGGTTATTTATAAGTTAATGGATTTTTTTTCTTCTTCTCTATTTCCTTTGTGTGTTTTAATTCATACCATATGTCAACCAACCCAAATGAAATCCACCACACCCCAGTTAAACAATACTGCTTTGCTCATACCTATCATTATAATTGCACACACTCACCTGTGTTTGGCAGTCATCTCCTGTAACTATGTTTCCCACCACCCGAAGTGCAGCTGCTACAACACTTTGGTGATTGTACCTGCATCGAGGGAGAATACTTTAGAGCGGCTTGGATAGGTACACATCATGTTCATTTCAAACACCATAGCACTTTACAATATCCAAGTTAATAGGTAAAAAAGACAGACAGGTGTTACTTAGGCATGCGTGCAGACAAGTAAAATAAACCTATATGTTTTCTTCAACATTTAGAAACATAAACCAACTTACATAAGCAGTTCAACTAGTCTTCTGCAGACACCTGAATCTATTACAGACTGTATTTTTTCATTGGGACCATCTGATAAGTATGAAAGAGCCCAGCAAGCATCAGCCAAGACGTCCTTATCGGAGTGATACAAGAGACGTGCAAGAACCGGTAAGGCTGGGCACACCTGGTCAAATGGACAAAATATGCAATTTACAGTCATGTTTTATTTATTGGGAAACAATAAAGTTACTATAATGTACAAGGAACACGCTCCTATGTTACTGTTGTTTACCCCAGGCATGTTCTCCCCATGGGTGACCAATGAACAACTCATGACGCTGATGTCATGAGATCTCGGTGTGTGATATATAAGGCAAGTGATTTTTATCTCATGAGAGGTGAGTGAACTGATACTTGGTGTGTGTGAATGGATACTTGAAGTCAGCTGTATGTGTCTGATATTGGACTGTCTGTTCAAAATGATCGTACCACACGTTTTTCAATAAAGCTATAGTTCTCTAGACCTGCATTTCCTTGTTAATATATATAACCTGTCAGCAACGCCACCACTCGGATACAGTAAATTTTACAACATCTATTTAGTTGATTAATGGCATGACTAATTTTACTTTTCTAAGGAACTAAAAAAAATTTGAAAGCTTAAAATAAATTTTATTAGTTAATACAACTGAGCAGATTTTGTAACATTATAGTCTCAATTAATTATGTACACCTCTATGAATTAAAGCTAGGCTATTTTTAAGAAGATAGTTTGGATCTACTTATTATTATGTTAAGCTTCAACTGTTCATGATCCTTAATCACCTTGTTAAAATCTGGAGGTGGATTTTTTCCTCTGCACAAGTTAGACAGACACCAGACAGCATTTCTTGTCATAGATAAACTTGCACATTTGCTAAGAAGACTGAAAAATGAGACTCAAGTGATGGCCACAAAATCAATTATATTACAAATTCATGAATTAATTTATATTATATACCAGTGTTCTCAAACTTTTTCTATGCTCCAAACTCCCTACAAATTTATTTGAATAGCCTCGTACACCTACAAAAGTAACAATTCTAAACTTGAAAATAATTAACTGATAATTGATCTATTGAATTTCAAAGAAAGCTGTAGAAATAAGAGGATGAACTTGCAACTTATTACATACAAGAAGATAATAATGAAAAAGTTTTTTTTTTTTAAAACATGAACATTTATATCTTAACTTTACATAACTTGCCTGTTCTTATAATCTCTTTTCCTCACACACCCTGGTATTCCACCAAGTGCTTCAGTTTGGGAAACACTGCTTTATATTCTATTTAATTTCACTATCTTAAGTAAATGGCAAACATTTTGTATCAAAATAATATCAAGAAAATAACTTACTGTAATAGAGGCACCAAGATGCCCTCATTCAGTACATAGTCTCTGCATTCTGGGCTGTCTCCAGCTATGTTACCCAAAGCCCATACAGCCTAGGATATCACAATTTATGGATTATCAAGTAAATACATTATTAAAAAAATTACTTATTACCAAACGCATGAATTATGTGCAGCTATTTCTAACACTAGAGGAAGTGTATGGACACATAGCGTCGTTGTATCATTTAGGTAATCACTTCATTATGCAATATGTTTATATTATACCCAGTATCTGATGATTTTCTTTTTTAAATCTACCAATTGGTGAATTCCATTTAATAGTGGACACAACATCCAACAATGAAACTGCATTAAATTTGGTGCTATATAAATTTATTTCATGCGTCTTGGTATGGAGTCATTTTTAGGATTTTAATTTTGTTTGGCACATGACCTGGTGGCCATCGTAAATTAAAAACATGTCGTCTGCACATTTTAAACAGAAATTTTGTTCATTTTTATTTCGTTAACATCATGGTCGATGTCAAATGATAGACAAGCATTAAAACAATGTTATTTATGGTTATTTAAGAACGTTATAACTGATACAATGAAGTATTTGTAATTCTGTAAAAGAGTTGACATAATGGCATTTTATTTTCATTAGTTTCATTTCATTAGTTACAAAGTCATGTTATGTTGTTACATCATTTTTAATGTATTTTTTTAAAATGTACTTTCTAAATACCGGTAAGTGCTTTACTGAGAAAATTAGCTTGAAAAAATATATTTCAATTTAAGCAGATTTCTGAGGAAATCAGAAAAAAAAAGAAGCTAACTAAAATATTATGCCTTTTTCATGTTACGTCAGTTACAATTCCAAAATCTATTATTTTTTTACTATTCTTATTATGCTTAATATAATTTATAAATGCTATTGTTTTACAGTTTAAAAACTTTAAGAACCAAAACCATGTATAGTTAAATTAAGCACATTTAATGACATTTTTTCATTTATACAGAATGCGAACTGAAATTATTTTTCGGAAAGTTATGTCAGAATTCACCAAAACTAAAAGTATCCTTTTACGATTCCTTATTGCATATTTTACAAGCAACTTAATTTTTTTTTAAATTTTTTGTTATGTTTAAAGGTTTTTTAAGATTCTAAATATAACTTAAACAGTTATCCAATTGAACGGCATTTAATTGAAACAATTACCATATTTTAAAACTCTAAAGAAAATTATTTCAGAATTTGTTGCTCCCATTATAACATGAACTACTGTAATTTTGTTAAGGTACAAAATTTAACAGCTTTATAGCACACCAAATGGACCTTTAAACATGATTATGAAATAAACATGGTCAACACTAATGAAGATCTCATTTTAACCTCTGTACTAACCTCCTCTAAAAATAGCCAACAAAATTATTGCAGAAAAAAAAAGCATTAAAAATAAATTTTTAAAGAAATACAAATTTGGGGTCAAATGTTTAAGCAGATTATTTAAAACAGGAACTAAAGCATAATACGCTTAAAGAGTGATTATAGTTACGCTACCTGCTCTTGCACATCTTCTATTTCAGAATTGAGTAAACGAATAAAAATAGGTACTGCTCCAGCACTGATGACCATTCTAGTCTGAATTGATGTACCAGAAGCAATATTTGTCAAAGCCCAAGCAGCTTCAAACTGTTGATGCAATCAAATTATTATAAACATTTTAAATACTAAACCTTACTTACTATGAATCATTAAATATTATACCCTTACTTCTGAATTCTATAAAAGGGGAACAACATTGCCTAGAATATATATATTAAAAATATATCAAAGTTCAACAAGTGTAAGACTAATGGATAAACTTGCTTATGAATTTTTACTGTGAGTTTACACACCTGTAAAGACCAACTGTTGTCTCGCTGCAAAAACTCTACAAATCTAGGTATGATACCAGTTTGTATGACTTCATCTATGGGAGGATTAGGTTCTGAAAAAAAGAAAACATCAATCTTGTATCCTGAATCCGACATCAAAATTACAAACAAATTTTTCAGACACAAATATTTCTGTTAATTCTTATTTGTAAATAAGTTTTTGAACATGACACATTGTCTAAACTGTACCGATAATACAAGCAATAAAATGCAGAATGCTACTAAGAGGGTGATATTTTTAAAAACTAAGTTGAAAATATAATGTTACAATTAGAGTTAAAAAACCTTCTTAGAAGTTAAATTCAGTATATATTAAAATAACTGGTGAGCATGCCTCATTTATCTTTTCAAATCTGATGGTAAAATCAGCATCCCTATTCCTTTTCACCCCCCTCCCCCTCTTATGAAGAAATGTAGTAACAAACCTAAATTCACATCTATTAACAAATATATTTTACCCCTTGATAAAAGCTTTCTAAATTTTTGTGTTGCCATTTCTTGTTCTTCAAGCTCATCACTATACAAAGCTTGTACCATTTCAGGGCTTATTCCTCCCTGAAATAATAAAAATCATTGTGTAATTAATCAGACTATACAAAGAAGCTTTAAAATATTTAAGGACACATTTCAAAACAGACTTATTCAATTTACTAGTTTTATAAGATAAAAAGTAAGAATAAAATAAAATAAAATTCTTACAGTTGGTGTGACCATGGAATCTTGTAAATCTGTTGTTGAGCCAATTTCATCATTTTCAGGTACTGCAACATTTCTTCTTTTAAAGATCTGGGGGGTAAAAACAAAATTTAAAACATAACCTTTTTTTACTAATAGTCCTGAGAATTTCAGCAGCAGGTATTTGAACAGCCTTCAAGAAAAGGAATTACAGTTGTGCTTTTGAGGCAAGTAAGAGCTGGGGATGTAGTAAATATTCCCTGGGGTATTTTGACTATCGTCAAATATAAATAAGGCTAGCCTGAAATTTTCAATTTAAAAGTCTCAGAACTTTTTGAAACCAATCTGTTTTGCAGAGATTGTGAAATACTATAATGAAAATATTTTCATGCAATTATTTCTAAGGTTTATCAAAAATGATCTAAACCAATCCCCCAGCAAATATTGAGTTTAAAAATAAATAAAGTTTCAAATATTTTTAGATTTGAAAATGTACAGGCTTGTAAACTGACAACGAAACATCAAATTATCTTGAGTAGTATCACTTTATTTGCTAATGCTAGCATTAAATTGTTAAGGAACAAAGGGTCAATAATTTGCAATTCTGCATCCAATTAACTGATGCAACATTGTCCACTTATGCAACAAGCAGCAATATTCCTCTTTTGAAAATAAGAATTTATGATTTTTAAATGTTATTGTAACAGTAGCATTTAAAAATTAAAATCTCAAATGATGAAATCATACAGCCTAACAATACAGCACAAGTTAACAGAGTAGGTGAGAGGTTCCCAATTTGAAATTGCTAACAGTTAATGGTAACATAGAGCCTAATTTCAATGAATAATATAATTTGAGATTAAGTATTAGTGCAGATATTACTCTACCTGTTCATCTCGTTTTTGTTTTCTCAGCTGGATTCCTTCTTCTTCTCGTCGCCTTCTTAGCTCCTGAGAATCTAAAGCTTTATTTTTGTAAGATTTCAATCTGTGGTTGGCTGGGCCTGGTGCTTCAGACATCTATAAATAAAAAATTAATATAATGTTTTTCTAAAACCCCAATTTACAGGAATTTAAATTAATTGTTAAAATGTTAATAAATAAATTGTTTACTTAGTCCTATGTAAATTTTTAAAAAGTAAACCTCAAGTATCTGACAATTTTTCATGGAGTCATTGATCATTGAGATATTTTATTCTCATCATTTCAAAGAAATTACCTCTTTTGATCACAAAGAATAGACAAACTTCCTAAAAAATTAGATTATTCATATATCAGTGACATGACAATGAACAAAATTAAAATGATTTCCCTTTTCTTTTAATTTAAGCATCTAGCTATAATTACTAAATGTTTAACATATCACCTTATGAGCTTCTTTAAGCATTAATTAAAAACACATCAGCGTAAACAGGAAAATAAAATGTTAAGTAGATCCTATTTTTTTCTGTACAGGTACAAGAAGACCCAAGACAAAAACAAATAATACCCCTTTACAAATGCTGTGCTAATGAGAAATCTTCTACTTTAACACTTTATTTTGCAGACATGTATTTGCTACAGATATTAATTTATATTGAGTAAACGTGCAGACCGAACTAAATAATTATGTCACAAAATTACCTCATACAGCACCGAAGAAAACAAAAGAGAGGATTGACTAAAATTTCCACTAAGGCAATTATGCTAATATTAATATTACTGTTGCAGTGTCTAGTGAGTTAATTATGAAAACACAAAAAGAAAAAATATGACCTTCATCACTATAATTAAAAAAATGTGGTGGTGTTAATTTTATAGACTTGAATATTTAGACCCCCCCCCCCCCACCAAACCTATACACAAAATCTACTAAATCAACATCACCACCATCCCCTCTCAGGGCAAATATAATATTTGGTTCCCAACCAATAGTATTTCTCGATCCATTCACTGTTGGATATAGAAAGCAGGTTAAAGCTAACAACCAAAATGTATTTTTTAATTATTTTTTTAATCAGAAAAACAACTGTATATATGTATATATTTTTAACACGGTTTCTTAAAATTGTAGTTATGACAGGTCTTGGTGTACAATTGTGAAAAGAATTAAAATTGTACAGGTCTACTGCCATTCTTAATTTATATAGCCTTTCAAAGATAATTGTTCACAGTTTGTACATTTTGCATAGTTTGCCAGCTGGTTTTGTGGGTTGGACTTAATGTTTTAACCGGGCCATTATCTGTCTTGACCTATTAAAGTCTAAAGGTCATAGGAGACTATGGAATTGGAAGAAAAAAAATGCAAGCCTAAAATCCACATGACTATAATTATCAAATGTAATTCTTTCTCATACACTTCTGAATTAATCGTTATCCCCTCTTGAGATGGAGCCCTTTTCACAAGCCCTGCAACTAATTTGAAAAAAAAATTATAAAAATTAAAGTAATTACTTTACAAACATAAAATCTCATTTTTATATTTGTTATTGGTGCCTCCTGCTTCCTTTTCACAACCGCGTCCCCCCCCCCATGTTTTATAATAAAAGTGTACAGTAAAAAAAGGGCTGTCATGCAGTAAGCTTTCATGCGTCTGAACTCAAGTTAAAAAGGTTGAATTTTTTTCTTTAGGAGGAGGCGACTATTATTTTAATAAATAAAGAGCTATGCATGGTGTAGGAATATTATTTTAGGTTTCGGCTATTCAGACCCGGTATTAGAAGTGAGAGGTTGGGTTTATTAAAAGATATTAAAAATATTATTGTACTATTTGTACAATACCAATTTGGTATGAAATAAAAGATAATTGAATGGACTATATGTTTGTAAACTTAATTCTTCAGTTTAACTAAAATAAACTACCACAAATGACATCCGAATAGCATTTAGTCTAAAGGGACCCGGTACCGAATAGCGTCGATGCGTGTCCGGGTCCATTTTGACTAAATGCTATTCTACTAGGCAAGCAGTTTAGATTGTAGGTCCATTTGTATCTTAGCATCTAGGCTTGTATTATTGGGCAGATGGATCAGCCATTCCTCTTTTTCACCACTGACTCGGCCCAGTCATTTCAAGAGGGTTAATAATATTATAAGCATATTTTTGTGATATTAAAACTGGTTTACTTAAAGGCCTATGTGCCTATGCCTAGTTTCAGTAATCTGCTAATCATCAGGCCTACTCAGACTAAAGATTAACAGTACTAACATGTATTGTCATTCTAAATGTAATACAAAGTAGGTGTTAGTAGTAGCATCATAGCCTAAATAGTATGGACTGACTATTGACTAGGCTTTGGCTTTGACTTATAAATAAGGTCTTCATGAATTTCAGTGTAACGGTACACACCACTAATTTAAATTGTCAACCAAACAGCCCCAACTCTTTCTTTAACACCCCTGGCATTACTAAACTAAGCCCTGCTCAGGCTTTTATTTTTATAATTCAGTACCTCTGGGTGTAGTACGGTAACTAACTTTGTAACTTTACTTCTTAGTAAAGTTAGATGATTAAGATAATTATTAGTCATTGAGACTCATTGAGCAAAGTTACATTGAGTTCATTGAGTAACATTGCTACATTGATTTGCAGCATATTCACTTAATGATGATTCATTTAGACATTATAGTTTAACAAATGACTAGATCAACCTTACGAAGTAATAAAAACTAGAGGACTAGGCTAAATTCATATTTTAGGAGTAGAGTAGCTACTGTCACCTTAGCCAGAGTATTTATTAATAAGTTTAGTTTAGGCCAGTAAGCGAATCGGAGCACAGCTGAGCCATCTAGTCGATAACACATTGCTTACCGCTGATGGCATTAATGGTTGTGTCAGTGGTATTTCCAATGTTAACAATGGATTATTTAATAAATTAAAACCCTAATTTGAATTAAATGTGGTATTTTCCCAATATTTTGGTGTCCAATGAAACTAATAAGTGTGTAATCTAATAGAATCTGAAATGACCGACATTAACAGGAAGTTCGACATGTGCGACAATCCCGACGAATTGTTAATTCCGTTAAACTTATTTTGAAAGTTAAAATATGTTTTTTATATTTTAAAAAATACATTTTGAAAATAGTATTAATTTATTTACATTATTTAATACTTAAATTTGCTTTTGCCAATTTCTCATATTTCTCGCAAATTAAATGTAGGTCGCGAGATGATGTCAATGATGACATTGATTATCTTATTCGCATAATAATGAGAAATACCATTATTTTAAATAATGTTATTTTTAATGCCATTAAATTTAAAGCAACAAATTAATATTGATAACATAATATGATTGAAAAATCTAAGAGTTGACTTAATGGTTCAAATTTTAAACAATACTTGGCAAAGAGAAGTTAAAAACGAAATGGACATAGACTAGATAGTCAATTAAATCCTTTCTGAAGCCTTTCATCTTTTAACTCTCAAAAGACGGGAGATTGAAAAATCGGTCATATGTGGCGGGTGAAAAGAACGACCCCTAAAATATATATAAAAATAATATTAAAAGGCGAAAATAAAGATTTACTATTTTGGAATGTTAAATTTCTATTTGGCAAGAAAGAAAAATCGTTTATTTTACTAGTTCTTGAAGAAATCTGGTAGCAACTTGTCCATTCATAAATTTTCCTTTTCGCCATTTACTCATATTTTGCCACAATTCCGGTTCACTGTTACTACACTCTAAAACATTGCTATGGAGTCTGATTCTGATTATAAGCTTGAAATGGACGACTATTCTTACTTAGAAGAATATTTTTGATGAAGATAGCACTTCAGATGTGTCTGATACCGAGAATTCTGTAAATTATCATCATAATAATA